GAGAGTTTTAAAATAGCAAAAATATCCTTGCATTAAGATTTAATTTAAAATTACCAAATTTATAAATTTCCTAATTTATCTATTAATTTGTGGTTAATATTGGTTCTCACAGTTACCACAAACAACTCAGTTCTCCCTTGAATAGACCCCTATATATATGTATATATATATATATATATATATATATATATATGTAAAAGGAAAACCTGGGTATTGAGGTAGCACCATGAGAATTAAGTATTTTCAGATGGTGAATTGTGGTTGAGTTTTAGTAGTCCATATTGGTGAAGAGTTGAAAGATTGGAACAAAGTGAATTGTATAAGAAAGATGAATTGGATGCCTTTGTGTCAAATCATGGGATTTGCTTCATAAGGTTATCTTATTTTGGACGACCCTCTTTGAAATATATAACCATGGTAGGGATCAAAACCAACCAAATGATAAAAATATATATCTTTATATATATATATAAAAGAAAAACCTTGAGGTATTGAGGTGACACCATGAAAATTGAGTTTTCTCAAATGATGAATTGTAATTGAGTTCTAATTGTCCCACATTGGTGAAGAGTTGAAAGATTTGAAAAAAGAGAAGTGTATAAGAAAGGTAGATGAGATGCTTTTGTATCAAATCATGAGGTTTGCATCATAGGGTTGTGTTATCTTGGATAACACTCTTTGAAATTTATAACCATAGTTGAAATCAAAACCAACCAAATGATAAAAATTATAATGCAAATATAAAAGTGAAACCAATGATGATGACTTGGAACATGAGATTTGATTGTTCCTCAAATCTAAAATAAGGTTGATTTTCATCATCTCAAGTTCGTATAAAGATGATAGTTTGGACGAAGATGATGGATGTGTAACAGTGTGATGGAGCTTTGAAATCTATAACAAAGGTTAAAATCAAAACCAACCAATTAGTAAATTTTTTGTGCAAAACGAATTCAAATGATATAATTTTTTCTTAACAAGAGTTGTGATTATTGTAGTACTTATAATAACAAATGCAGTTTAAGTATTTATTATATCACTTATATTTACATAGAATGAAAATTTTGAATTAATGATGTGCTTTCATCTGATGTTAGTATTTTCGAAATCATGATTTACAGTGTTGGATGGGACGTTATAAATATAAATACAATCCAAAGTTTTCAGATATATCGCACTTCCGCTCGAGTCAAGACTTTTACGTTATTTTCTTAAATTGAGTTTTGATCACCGTGCAATGCACAATATCGAAGACTAATATTCATAGGTTTTTAATAGAATATAAGGGTCAAATTGGTGATGCAGTAGGTTTATATGGACAATATGGTAACCTAGGAGCTGCCTATTTACCATTTCAAATTGTAGCATCAAAATAAAAAAAATAAAAATAGTCAATCAAATTTATTTTGTAGTCAATTTTGAACTTAATTCACATTTTAACCAGAGTTTACATGAATATTTTATTTTATTTTTAGATTATAAGAAAAAAAAGAAAAAAAATATTATTTACGTATATTTGTGTAAGGATCCACATTTGCATAAGAAATTTCTATGCAAATTTGCGTAAGGATCCATATTTACGTAAGAATTTGTTTTCCTTTTTTAAATCTAAAAATAGAGTTCATGCAGATGCGTAAAACATTTGTGTAAGCTCTGACTAAAATGATAATTTGATTAAAAAAGAGGCTAAACAGTGAATTTAGGATGGAAAGGATGACTATTTTCGTTAATTTTACCGCCAAAATTATTAGTTTATGTGTATAAATCATATATATATATATATATAGAGGGATGCTATTCTACACTCTTTGCCATTCCTACACCCTATACAACCCTCATCTCAACCATTCAATTTTTAATCAATTAATTGTTTCATAATATAAAGTATTAATCATAATTAATAAACTCTATTCATATTCCATAAATATTCAAATCATAATAAATGAACTTCAATCATTTTTATAAATATCTCAATTAATTGGGTTGCAAAGGTTGTACAAATGCACAAGGTTGTAAAAGTACGAAGGTACCTTTATATTATGTCGATGTTATGTTCTATTTTGTGAATGTGGTGAAAGTTATACGGCATGCGTGTGTGCCTTTAGTTTCTATATAGACAGTTAC